TACTCTACAGTAACTATGATATTGACATATGTATTATATCACGAAGACTGATACGCAGAATGGTGAAACACATGATATTACTCTCTAAGGGTTCAGTGTCATGATCTAAAGTGAACATTCTTCTACGCATATTCTGCTAGGAGTATCATATGATACTGTTCCCTAAAGGTTCAGTGTCAAGTGATCTTCTACACATATACTATTAGGAGTTGTCATATGATACTGATCTCTAAGGGCCAAATGTCACGGTCTATAGTGAATATCCTTCTACATATATAGCGTTATAAGTGTCATATGATACTGCATCCTCCGGGCTCAGTGTCAAGTGATTCTCTACATACATACTGCTATGAGTGTCATATGATACTGATCCATCAAGGCTCAATGTCATCTGATAATTGTAAAGTATGGATGGCTTTGTATACTACATAAAATTATTCTGAGTGATTGTCATAGAACACATGATATTGCAGGTGTCATACGAATTATAAATATATGTATCCTTACCATAAATAGTATCACGAACACCAAAAATAAAAAATAAATTCTGACCAATTATTTATTAAATATGTTCGGCTAATACTTTATATTACATATAAAAATAACAGATCACAGGTTGGAATCTATGTAAATATGGTAGGCTAATACTTTCTATTACAACAAAAAATAAAGCAGAACATTTATTAGAATTTATGTAGATATGTAATACACAAGCGCTTCTATTCAATCAGTCAACATTGGCTCATTTAGTTCTAAATCATCAAATTGATCAAGCCAATTTGGTCGAGAAGAATTCGTTCTAATCCTTTCTTGAATGACCTTTATTTCTTTATCAGTAAATTTCCCAAAAGACGATGGTGAAATTCTCCTAATTCACTTGATCTCGTCTCTTCCTAAACCTTCTGTTTTAAATATGTTGTAAATATTTTTAGCTGATTATTTCTTCTTGTTAAAGATATTACGAGTCATCTCAAAGGGGAATTGTCACCAAATTTCTGCATTAAGTAATACTCGTGCGGTTTGGGTAGGATGAATAGAGGTATATTCGGCCAATTTCTTCTCTAATGCTTCCCCAAGAGGATAATAAGAGTCAAGGATTTCATATTCCACGCGGGATACTTCACGTGTTTTTTTATTAAGAATCTTCTCAGCATGAAGTATTTTATCATGTAATCCGACGAATATCATTTCAGGAGTTGTAGGATCCGTTTCCACATCTGACACCTCTGGTAATGGATTGAAGTCTTGTGGTCTGTTGGTTAATTCTTTAAAAAATTTTTTAACATTATCATCTTCTCTAGGATTTAGCTTTGCATCATCATTATCACCAAGATAAATAAGATGTTGACAATGAGGACATGTCATATCTTTTTTTAAGGAAATAATAATACATCTAAGATGAAAGCTATGAAGATAGGACAATCTCGTGACTGGTTTCAAGTTAGTTCCATTAGTTTCGAATAATGGATCTGGTTCTTTACACCAAGAACAGGTGACAGATTTGGCTTGATTTTCGTGATTAGTGATACTTCTATAATCAGACTCAAAAAAATCTTCTTCATTGGACAATGGGGTCTGTGGAGCTATGCTATTAGATCTTTCTGATTCCATGAGTATTTTTTTTGAGATGTATTTACGAAAGGGTGAAATATAGGGTTTTTATACTTCTTGAACACATTCCACTCGTGATCGCGAAATTATAATAACTGGAACTTGCTAGAAAAAATACTCTCATTAATCTTTGGATGACAAAGCTCCTTTATTATCAGCAGAAAATATGTAATGAGGTATTTTTATCTAGATTAGCCAGCTCATGGAAACTTTGGTATCAGGTCTAAGATCTAAATTTTACGTGATCACATATACAGTATAATAGTTCACTCATATTACATATAGTTTATTTTGTATTACTTTATCCAATAAAGAATTTTATTGATTT